TACTAAGTAAAATAAATCAATCTGAAAAAGGCTGCAATGATGCCAACTACATGACATGCTGGAAGAGGCAGAAGCACAGAGGCAGTAAAAGATCAGTGGCTGGCCAGGCACGGTGGCTCACATCTGTAATCCCAGCATTTGAGGAGGCCAAGGCAGGCAGATTGATTGAGGCCAGGAGTTCAAGACCTGGCCTGGGCAACATGATGAAAGCCCATCTCTACAAAAAATATAAAAATGAGCCAGGCATGGTGGCTCTCACCTGTAGTCCCAGCTACTCAGGAGGCTGAGGTGGGAGGATCCTTGAGCCCAGGAGGTTGAGACTGCAGTAAGCTGTGATTGCACCACTGCACTCCAGCCTGGGCGACAGAGCAAGACTCTGTCTCAAAAACAAAACAAATCATTGCACCACTGCACTCCAGCCTGGGCGACAGAGCAGCAGAACTCCGTCTCAAAAAAAAAAAAAAAAAGGTCAGTGGTTTCCAGGAACTGGAGAGAGAGACCAATGAATAGGTAGCACATGGAGGATTTTTAGGGCAACAAAAGTCCTCTGTCTGATACTATAATGGTAAACGCAGGTCATGCATTTGTCAAAACCCATGGAATCTGTAACCCCAAGAGTGACCCCAGTGGACTTTGTGTTTTGTATTTTGGTTTCTTTTTTTTTTTTTTTGAGACGGAGTCACTCTGTTGCCCAGACTGGAGTGAAGTGACAAGACCTCAGCTCACCACAACCTCCGCCTCTTGGGTTCAAGCGATTCTCCTGCCTCAGCCTCCTAAGTAGCTGGGATAACAGACATGCGTCACCACGCCTGGCTAATTTTTGTATTTTTAGTAGAGATGGGGTTTCACCGTGTTAGCCAGGCTGGTCTCAAACTCCTGACCTCAGGTGATCCACCCGCCTCAGCCTCCCAAAGTGCTGGGATTACAGGCGGGAGCCACGGCGCCCGGCCGGCCAGTTTTATTTTTAGAGCAACTTTAGGTTCACAGCAAAATTGACATCAAAAAGATATAGCGAGTTCTCATACACCTGCTGTGCCCACAACCTCCCCAGCTACTGACACCCTGCACCAGAGTGGTACATTGTTACAATCAGTGAATCGACACTGATACATCATTATCATCCAAAGTCCAGCTCACGCCTGTAATCTCAGTACTTTGGGAAGCCCAGGTGGGTGGATCACTTGAGGTCAGGAGTTCAAGACCAGCCCCACCAACATGGTGAAACCCCATTTCTACTAAAACTACAAAAATTAGCCAGGCGTGGTGGCAGGCGCCTGTCATCCCAGCTACTAAGGAAGCTGAGGCAGGGGAATCCCTTGAACCCAGAAGGCAGAGGTTGCAGCGAGCCGAGATCACGCCACTGCACTCCAGCCTGGGCGACAGAGCAAGACTCTGTCTCAAAAACAAAACAAAACAAAAAGCTGATCCAATTTACAGAAGTTTGCAGCTGTCTGACACCCACACATTTTCTAAGAAAGGCCTACAGGTAAAGCACGGAGTCCCAGGCCCACAGCAGGAAGCGAGAAGCCCTTCCACCTCCCTCTGGCCCAGGATAGGCTGGCATGCCCCAGCACATTCTCTGCCAGGCAGCCTGACACAGCAGTTAAGACCCAGGCTTCGGAGTCAGACTGCCTGGGGTCAAATCCAGGCAATGTGTTTACTGGCCGTGCAACCTTACTCACGGTTGGAACCTTGATTGTCTCATCTATTAAACGGAACTAATAATAACTTCTTCACGAGCTGTTAGGAGACTTAAAGGGAGATGCACATGGAGCACCTTCATAAACACTCCCCACATCCCAGCTGGCGGCCTTCCTCCTCCAGGCTCCGGGCTCACTTGCCATGGTCACACGCAGGCACTGGGAGCACTAGCCCTGGGCTCTTCCGTGGGGCCTCCTATGTGGAGGTAGACATGATGCTAGAGCACAGGAGATCCTGCCATGACTCCAGCTGGCGCTACAAGGAGACTGATCCGTCTTCCAAAATAAAAATAATAAAAATAGAAAAAAAAAAAGAAACAGATGTCATGGAAGAGAGATCTGTTTCCAGCCATGGCAGGGTTGTGTTAATATCTGTGGAGTGTAGAATGAGTTGTGAGTATTGTGGAATCTACTGGTATGTTGGTTTATGAAAGGATGACCCTTGGCTGAGTGCTGCGGCCTTGGGACTCTACCAGGAGAGTGTTTTGGAGGATAATGCTGGATGCGCCTCCCTCCCTGTGGTCTAGCATTCATGTTACTCCAATAGGAGGCCCCACGGAAGAGACCCAGGGCTAGTGCCTCCCAAGTGCTGCGTGTGACCATGGACAAGTGAGCTCCTTGAGGTCCTGGAAGGAGGAAGCGCCAGCTGGGATGCTGGGGAGTGTTTATGCAAGGTGTTCTCCATGTGCCATCATCCCTTTAAAGTCTCCTAACAGTCGTGGAAGAAGTTTTATTATTTCCTGTTTTAATAGATGAGACAATCAATTCCTAACCGTGAGTGATAGGTTTCACGGCCAGTAAATCTACATGCCTGGTATTTGACATGAATCCAGCGTCTGACTCTCGAAGCTGGGTCTTAACTGCTGTGTCAGGTGCTGCAGAGAATGATGTGGGGGGTTGCCAGCCTACTCTGGTGCCATGAGGAGGTGGAAGGGCTTCTCGCTTCCTGCTTGTGGGCCTGGGACTCCGTGCTTTACCTGTAGTTGCCTTTCTTTTAAGATTAAATGTGTGGATGGTCATACAGCTGCCAAACTGATCTGTAAAGTTGGTATTCATGCTTTTGTTTTGTTTTGTTTTTGAGACAGTGAGTCTTGCTCTGTCCGCTCCAGGCCTGGAGTTGCAGTGGCGTGATCTCGGCTCGCTGCAACCTCTGCC